AAGGATGGGAAAAGGGCATCTCAATAAATGGTCATAAACTAAACAACCTACGTTTCGCAGATGACACAGCCCTTCTTGCAAATAGTCAAGCAAAGCTGATGGAACTTATACGACTGATCGAAAACAAAAGTCAAATATTTGGTCTGCAATTAAACATATCAAAGACAAAGATCATGATAGTGGATAGACTACACAACAATCTTCCACACATAACCACAATTGACCGGTTCGAGGTTGTGAGCTCATACTTATATCTGGGATCATTAATCACAAACACAGGGTCATTACAAGTAGAGATTAAACGTAGATGTGATCTAGCAAAAGTTGCCACAACAAAAATGACCAAAAATATGGAAGGATGTGAATCTTGGACTCTGAGACAATCGGAGAGAAGAAAGATATACGCCACTGAAATGTTCTGTTGGAGACGAATGTTCCATGGACCGACCGTAGAACAAATAATTCAATTTTAAGAGAGCTAAAAGTTAGCCAACCGCTCTCTAGTAAAGTCCATCTCCAACAATTAAAATATTTTGGGCATGTTATGAGAGCAAACACAGAAAACATGGAAAGACTCATAATACAAGGAAAGGTAGAAGGCCGAAGATCACGAGGAAGATCCCCAACAAGATGGATAGATCAAATTACAGGAATATGCCAAAGACCTATGCATGAATTAAAAGAAATGACCAGAGACAGAGATCTCTGGAGACGGACAATACACGACATCACGTCGACCACTACACTCCCCTTGGGTTCAGGATTGAGAGAGAGAGAGAGAGAGAGAGAGAGAGAGAGAGAGAGAGAGAGCCTGGAGAGTGACGACTAGAGAGAAATTATTGAGCAGGCTAGGACCTGTACAGAGTTGTGAAGCCAGTATGATGGTAGCTTGCAGTTAATACTTTTAAGTGGTTCGCATGATGCTAAGAGAGGAAAATACAATACTTCGGTCATGTGTTGAAGGAGAAAGATATGAATTACTTCGAATGAGTAGGAAGACACCAGAACTCGTGGCTGAAAAACCTGAGATGGTTTGACCGCTCATCCGCAGAAATATTTCGTGCAGCAATTTCGAAAGCTACAATTTCTAATGTCTAATGAGCGACAAAAGATTTATACAAGCTTTTTCATTAGTTCTGGAATATGAAAATCCCGAGTGGATGTCTTCAATTCACTCATTAATTTACTATGGTAATATGTTTATTTCTCACTAACTACTCACGATTCTCTCTTATGCAAAAAGCAGGAAACATTATCGTCCAAGTTCAACATATTCATCCAAGTCCAAGTATAAATTTGCGTTTGTTCAAATGCACTTATACGTTTATATTATACGGTTATACCTATTGTAAATCTTTGGATTTATGTTAGTTATAGTGAGATATAAACGTCGTTTTGACCCAGCGACCCAGCTGAGAAATTTATGGAAAAATCTTTATAGATCTCAATTATTTCTAAATCTTTTATCCTGTATATCTCGAAAAATATCATATCTACCATAAAATAAAAGTAAAAATAAATTTTTCAGTGCGTAAACGAGAAAAAACTGTAAATCTACAGTTTTGAATATTTGCTTATGGAAAAATTGAAAAACTATTTGAAGTTTCATAAAATTTGGTAAAAGTTTGATTTGCCTCAAAAACAAAGGCTTAGGAAAAATACGATACCCATTTGTTTTGTTTTTACTAATTTTCTTTATCAATATACATACCATAAATATAAAATGTTTTTTTCCATCACAAATGAAAAAAAAATATTCAAAATTTCATTGGCTTGATAACTTTTACAATATTTTCTAGACCTTTTTTTTAATCTTAAAGATCTATTGTTTTTTCTATTTTTTAAACATATAAAAATCTAATAATGGATTAGCAATAAAAATATTTATATACATAGAAAACAGCTGGCAGCTTGCAAACTTATTTATACTTTGAAGACCTCCAAATTGTATAGTATTATAAATAAGAATTAAAGATTAATTACAAAACTGGCGTTATAACCACAATTTAAACTAGCTGTAAACTAAATCACACACACACACACTCGGAATAGCGAATATTGCTGTTACTATATTAAAAAAAATTCTATATAATCCGGAAAACAGTAAAGTAATAAACAAACGGCATGAACACTTAAGAAGTGATGATATAAGTGAATACTTCTTAAGGCGCGTTATTTCTATTTAATTTCTTATAACATTTAATTTCTTTAAAATTAAAAAAAAATTGGTTAATGATTTTAGTAATTTTCAAAATTTGTTAAATATAATATAGAATTTATTCATTACTTACATTTTCATTATTAACTTGCATTTATGTTTAATTACTTCATTTTGATTATCATTATATTTCATATGACGGATTAAAAAAAAACGGAATCTGGCACAACAGGAGTAACTGAGAAGGGAAGCATAGTTATTTTATTAGATTTTATTTTGTTTTATTTAATTTTCATTTATTTTATTTCATTTCATTTTATCTTAATTCATTTTACTTTAAATTAGTTTATTTTATTTTAAGTTATTTTTTTTATACAAATATTTATACCTCATGATTACTGCACGCGTCTCGATATTTCGAGTCACGCAAAATATTGTTTCTGGCCTGTGCAAAAATATCATACCGGGCGATAAGAAGTATTCACTTTAAAAAGAGCTAATAAAAGAAAAGAAAAGGGTAAAAGTAGAGGAAGAGAAATAAACCAGTAGTAAAAACAAAAATCTTCAGTCTCATCTCAAAAAAAAAACAGTCTCATCTTTAAATAAAAGAAGATAAAATAAAACATTTTAATGTCGAAGAAAGTAAGCCAGTAATTTCGCCTGAGAAGACAAACTGTATAATATGACAAGTAATTCGCTGATATACAAACTCCAAATAGAATAAATGATGGTTTAATTATAGGTAATGACGTAGGGTTCGGATATTATGCATTTATAGTACTACCATCTTTCTAAGAAACTCATTAATGTTCAGTTCATACTTCGAACAATAGCCCCTCGCTGAGTGCCTAGACAGCATTCGTTCAAATCAGCAAAAGATCTACCAACCAACAGTGAGATATTTCAGATTTTAACGGTCTGCATATAGCCCAGAGTCACAGAGGTATCTATTTTCCGCTACCAAAGGTACAGAACGACTAAGCAGTGGGAAACATGGGTGAGAATGCCTGCCTTTCTGACTTCTAACTACCACCATATAATTGGACTAACATGGTAGTCATGTCCTCTACATCCGTAATACGCATATAAAGCAACTTACAGAGATTTGTTTCCGAAAAATTAGAGTGATTTAAAATATTAGGAATAGGGAAATATCCAAGAAATGTGAAGACCATAGGATTATTAGCCTGATGAATCATATATTGAAACTTTTCCTACGAGTAATACACAATAGAGTATACAATAAACTAGACGAACACACTGGTCAAACTCAGTTTGGTTTTAAGAATGGGTTCGGAACAAGAGAAGCACTTTTTTCAATACGTGTGCTAGTTGAAAGATGTAGAGATGTCGATTCTGATGTATACTTGTGTTTTATAGACTTTCAGAAGGCGTTTGACCTGGTGAAACATGATAAACTAATAGATATTTTAAGGTCATGTAATATCGACGATAAAGACTTAAGGATTATTTCAAACCTCTACCAAGAACAAAAGGCTAAAATCAGAATGAAAAGCGAAACATCTGGAAAAATCAATATCGAGAAGGGAGTAAGACAGGGATGTGTCCTATCACCTTTGCTGTTCAATGTTTACTCTGAGAAGATATTTCAGAAAGCTTTGGAAGGCACCTCGGAATGTATAATTATAAACAGGCAATGTATAAATAACCTGCGAAATACTGATGACACTGTCATACTGCAGATAATGCTGAAGCCCTGCAACGCTTAATGGACTAAGTAGCGACAGCCTGTAGAGAATTTGGAATTAAATTGAATACAAAGAAGACAAAAATGATGGTCATCAGCAAGCACCGAAACAGAAGGGTGAAGGTGAATGTCGACGGAACAGATCTGGAAAGAGTAACAAGAACAACGTACCTTGGAAGTAATCTTGATGAAACTTGGGACCACTCACTAGAGATAAGAATACGCCGGGAAAGGCACGTACAATGTTTTACAAAATGCAAAAAGTTCTATGCAACCGCCAGCTGGGCATCTCATTGAGAGCTAGAATACTTAAGTGCTATGTTTTCTCCACCTTGCTCTACGGTGTTGAAGCCTGGACAATGACAGAAGCAACACACAAAAAAGAATCCAAGCATTCGAACTCTGGTGTTACCGTAAAATGCTCAGAATATCCTACATGAGCCATACGACAAATGCGGAAGTCTTGCGGAGGATGAATAAGGAAAGAGAGCTTATGCTTAGAATAAAAGAACGGAAAACACAATATTTTGGTCACATCATAAGAAATCAAAAGTATGAACTGCTCCAACTTATAATCGAAGGCAAAGTCAATGGCAAAAGTGGACCAGAAGAAGACGCAACTCTTGGCTTAAAAACCTACGGCAATGGACGAACATGACTTCCATAGAACTATTCAGGCTGCTACAAATAAGATTAAATGGGCAAATGTAATGGCCAACGTCCTTAAGAATAAGGCACCGTAAGAAGAAGAAGAGGAATAGGGACATAGTTTAGAGGCAATAGTGATCTCTATTTCCTGCCATTCACAGTAGATGCCGCCTACGTACTCGTCTCCACTCCGCATTGGAGTAAATATGGGAGAGTATCCGTCTTTCTATCTTCGATTTTTTATCTGATGAGCCCCCCGAAACCATAGTAGCTAAAGAGTGAACGGATTAAAACTTTTACGGATCATAGACGATAAAACAGGAAAACCATGTCATAACTCTTAGACCAATAAAACTTCATAATACCGACATTTAAACTTCACTGGTGTCGCCCAAAGAAACAATATACAACCACACATATAAAATAGTCACTTTATTTTTTTGTAGCAGCTGCCAGTGTACAGTTATTAATATATTCTTTACTTACTAATCCATTACCAGTATAAACATGCATGTTAGTAATTTGTACAAAAGAAAATATATTAAAAGTAACACACACCCTTCGATCTGCTGCGGAAAAAATTACGAATTCTTTTGCAAAGATAGATCTTAAGAATTGATAGTTGTCAAATAGTTCATCTAAAAAGAAGAATATATCCGTAAGTACCATGATAACCAAACTAGTTTTGCTGTTGCAATACGATATCGTGCTGACATGCACAATGTTTTACATCTACCTCTACTATACATTAAAAATTGTTAGATCATTTGTTTATATATTGTGAAAGTATCATTTATAGTACACAAGATTTTATAAAGCTTTTAGGCGAAACATCTGACACTAGCGTCATATAACTCGATCTTTGAATGAGTATATGTGGGAAAGGAATATTCTTAATTTTAAAATTTTATTTTAACTATATGTGCTATTCTAACCTTTAGGCAAAAAAACCAAGAGTCGTAACAATTCTATTAACGACACTGTCTTTATATTTTGGGTATAGAGATGGATAAAGCTGAGATCATTTTTTTTTTTTTATTAGAAAAAGATGTCGCATCCACCAAAAGGTTATTAGCGACGGAACAAAATATAAAAAACAAAGTTAAACACCCACAGATTGTACAAAATGTTTTTGGATCTAAGATTATTCACTATATTGTTACAGGAACAGTTTTGACCTAGAGCCTTTAGTAGAACGTTTGGGATCCTGTAGCGCTGTCTTTCTTGGTCATATTTACTACAAATTGTTAAAAAATGTTCGACTGTTAATCGGACGTTACACTGATCACATATAGGTGGATTTTTCTTTGTAAAAAGGTAGGAGTACGTTAATCTGGTATGTCCTAGGCGTAAACGCTCAACCGCAATTTGTTCTCGTCTATTGAGCGACGATGGAAACCACTGAGATATATTATTTTTGATTTTATTTAGATTGGAATTAGTTTGAGACCACTCATTTTGCAACAAACACCACACTTTATTTTTATAATAAGCTTCTAAGTCACTAAAAAAACACACTTGTCTATCGGCTGTGACAAATCACTTAAAATTGCCTCTCGTGCAGTCCTGTCAGCTTCTTCATTTCTTGTTATTCCAACGTTTGAGGGAACCCATAAAAATTGGACGCTTCTTCCATGTTCATAAGAAATAATAATATCTGGAAAATATTTAGATAAAAGAAGCTGTAGCATAGGGAGACGATGAAAAAATCCATCAATGTTTCATTGAAGTATCGAGTTGAATGTTGTTAACAGATTCGGAGTTAGATGATACTGAACAATTGTCTACAGAAGAGTCACTATCTAAGTCAGAAATCTCTTTCTCTAAATGGTTGTATAGTTTCTTTTGAAGTTTTGTAAACTTGCTTTTTGTAGATCTATCATTTGCATATTGATAGCTGCTTTGTAAAAGATGGAGTAAACCACAGATATCAGTTGTAAATTCTTTGACGACGCTAATAGTGTCGGAGGAGCCTTGGACATTATCAATCAGTAAGGACAATTGGTGGTAATTTAAAACGAATGGTGGGTATGATTATCAATGAAATTTTCGAGAGTTTCCCGTGTAGATGGGACTTTATATGAGCGCGGTTTTTTTTGTTTAGAGGGTTTGGGTTTTGCAAACAGATTTTCTGATGAAATTACTGAGTCTGAAGGAGGCGTGACGATCTCACCAATACTGCGTTTTATGGAAGAACTTGTGTTTTCGGAATTGTTATTAGAGTTTTCATTTAGATGCTGTGGCTTTATTACATTTGGAAGTACTGGAGCAAATTCCTTGGTAGTGACAGAACTCGAGCTTGAAATTTTATTTGTAAGATTGGTTGAAATGGTTGTTTCAGAAAATTGTCTTGTTGTATCAGTTTTATTAGAATTTTCTGCAGTTGTATCTAATGAAAAAGGAGCTGATAGATTGGAGGATATTGCTTCCGAAGTTTGTGAAAACGGTATTGCTACTGAATGAGGTTGATTGAAAGGGTTGTTATGAGTAGGAGCGTTAGTAATTTCTTTGTCATGGAGATTTGTAGGTGTAGGTGATATGCTTGGATTTGATGATGGATAACTTGATGACTGCTGGGTGTTTGGTACCTTGTGTAGTATACTTGTTGAAGCTGTTTGATTTGGTACTTCATTGTTTGACTCAATATGAGTTGATTCCGGTACCGAACTGTTTTTGCATTGGGATGATATGTGCTCTGTATTTTTGCAAATAAAGCAGATGAGTGTACCTTGTGACAAAAATATGCGGTAAGGTGTTTGGTCGAAATTTATTAGAATAGAATCTGGAATTGGTGATGTTATAGGGCTTATATAAACTTGCCTCCGAAAGCTCAATATGTGACTATATTCGGGAAGAGTCGAGCTAATTTTCAGAAATGTTATTGGAGAAATAAGCTTTAAACCGATATTCTCTAATTCTTCAACTAATACTTGATGAGGAATTGACGGGCAGACTCCAGACAAGACTAGTCTTTCTGCTGGAGAGACAAGTCTTCTTGCTGTTATTACTTCGCCTAGTACTTCTATAGAGCCATATTGTGTCATGAAGTTATCTACTACGGTCTTGTTTGCCAAATACATGCAGATTCTATTATGAGATAATCTAGATGAAAAAAATAATATTTTTTGGGTTGATGATTGTGTCCAAAGGAATGAGATAATCCTGCAGTTTAGCATTATCGATACAACTAAATACAATTGCTTGGTTCTTACTCGGAAAAGAATGTGAAGCGGCTGAAGCATAACTGTTTGTGATATTCGAACGTTGATTTACTGGACTGGTTAGATCGGAAGGTGTGTTTACATTGTGTGAAGTCATTTTGAGGTGCAGTGGCGAAGGCCTTACTCCGACTCTGGTAAGTGAAAAACCAGTCGCATGCTACTATAAGCTACTTATAGCAGCTAACCTCACAAAATGATTGTATGGCAGTTTATATTTATTATTTGACTTTTTCTTTTCACAATAATAAAATAATAATTACGTATAGATGAATTACGTAGTAGTATCTAGTAGATAAACACTTTAATTTTTTCTGAGATCAATATTGTTCGAAGTATTCTTCACGAATATTACTACCATTCGCTCAAACCAACTCTGGAAATAATTGTTTTTCTTCTTGTTTTGGCATAGCCAAACTCCTCTGACGACTGGAATCTATGAATACGTCGGGATTATAGGGAAGATAATTTAACAATTCGATCTTTTGTTTCGTAAAAATTTGAATAAAAAAAGATGACTTATGAGAAAGAAATATTTCTAGAATTCGTGAAATGGCTCCAAAAGAGGGTCTCGAGATTTCGAGATAAATCTCACGACCATCTTGTTGGAGATATATCAAGAACGGATGAGATTTGTGTGCTTTTCTTCATGGTGGAATACACTAATAGATGATTGGTGATTATTTCTGACTCGTATGCTTAAATTATACGTCCATGGCTTAAACCCTTGATTGGTCACCACAGGTAATGTTTTTTGAGGTTCCTGTTTAGAGGCGATCTAGAGCTTTTTGACACCAATTCGACATATGTTCTTGATGTTCTTCTGGAACAAGAACAGCAAGTAAGCAAACAAGAAGCGATTTTTTCTTTAATTGAGGTCTTTGGAATCCCAATGATGCCTTATTCCGAGATATGACACACGTCGCTCTTAAAGTGGGTAAACTTGCGCAGAGCATTGGCTTGCCGTTTACCATTTTTGGTGCTCCTCTTAGATCGGCGCTATGATTATTCCGTTTACGTTTCAATTTTCATTTATGTTTCCAATTACGTTTGATTCATCAGAAATGAAACGAATACTTTGGTAAGACAAAAGTAAAAAGGGAATCCTGGCAGAGTTTCTCAAAACAAATGGAATACGACTTCTACGGAATAGAAAAAGAAATATGAAGAATGATCAGAGGACAAAGAAAAGAGATGAACAGATGAATATTTGAATAATAGTTAATAATACTTTCGATCCGTATTTGCTAAAGGTGACGATAATCAATCACCACCATCAGAAGTGATGACAAGCGAAGAAATAACATTGAGGAGGGAGATGTCAAGGAAGCATTAAGGAAATCAAAAAATAGAAAATCACCAGGAGAGAACAGAATACCGAATAAATCCGGAGGACCAGATCTGACCAAACAACTATTAAAACTAATAAAAAAAATAATCGAAGACGTCAAGACAATACAAGAATAGAGTTCAAGCATCTTAAAAATTCTAATTCCTAATCAAAAAGGAGACCAATCGGATCCACAGAATTACAGAGGAATTAATTTACACAAATTAACAACCAAAGTAATAACATATAAACTGAACGAAGTTATGACAATAGCAGAAGAACAACAAAGATTTAGGTTAGGAAGACCATGCATATAATGAGGCAAGTGCAAGAGATATCCTTAGAATATATCAAACTGGCATATTTATGTTTCGCGGATCTTACGAAGGTATTTGACAGGGCTAAATTAAAGGACGTTGCCCACATATTGTACGCAAGAGAGGTACCTCTATGAATAATCAAAACGATCGAAAATATCTACAAAAACAACACAGTAAAAGTAAAAGAAGAACTAACCGACCCTATTGAAGCTGGCAATGGGATGTAACAGGGAGATTCCCTGAGTCCTCTATTGTTTAACCTGATTATAAATGAAATAATAAAAAAGTAAGAACTAAAAAATGACACCAAATGGGAGAAAAATAACTTAAAATATCGGGAGAGAAATGAAAGGCCGAATTTACAAACAGTTATCAGAGAGGACAAAAATAGGTTAGAAACAGCAGAAATAAAACCACTTGGAAAAATTGATGGTAAGATACATGGGACAGAGCCAGAAGTACAGATATACGACGTAGATGGAAGGTGGAGAACATCAAGAACTGGGTAAGAAATAAAAGAGCAGAATGGAACGATCATATAAGTCAAATAACTACAAATATAGTAGTAAATGTCGAGAATGGTTCCCCAATAAGAAGACGATCATTGGGAAGACCACGAAACCGATATATTACTGGAGGCACAAT